AGTAAACGGAATGAGTATTTTTTCACTGGAAGCAGTTTTTAATTGATAAAAATGTGCAATAGCTGTCTGTCGTGCAGGTCTCTGGTCTGATCCATCTGTTGGATTTGTTGGTTTTGATTGGCAAGGCAGCAGGATGGCCTCACTGGGTTGTTGTGTACCTGGCTACTCCTGAATCACAGCTGCTTTGTCCATGTGTCTACACGTATTGACAGCCAATTTTGCATGTCTGCTTCTATCATCTAGTAGGGCCTGGCAAACGTACCCGAGTCCACCTGAAATGAAGGAGCAGGCAATGGTAATACGTTCATGAAGGGAGAATTGGTGACAAGATTTGGGTACCACAGGGGTAGAGTGCTTTATCTTCCCCTACCAACTCCATTTCGATTTTAGCTGGCCCCCTCTGCTTTTGGTCTGTATTGCCTTTCATAGATCATAGAATCCCTACAGTGTGGCCCTTCGGCCCAATAAGTCCACACTGACCCACAGAGCATCCCATCCAGACCCATCTCCCTATAACCCACCTAATCTACACATCCTTGCACGCTATGGGCAATTTAGCACGGCCAACTCACCGAGCCTGCACGTCTTTGGATTGCGGGAGGAAACCCACGCAGACGCGGGGAGAACGTCTGTCTGTTTGCACAGTCACCCGAGGGTGGAATTGAACCTGGGTCCCTGGCACTGTGAGGCAGCAGTGGTAACCACTGAGCCACCGTGCTGCCCATCAATGGGCTCTGTGTAAACTGGACAATTGAAACCATGGCTAATGTACTGGTGGTGATAAATGGTAATTTAATGGTTAATGGTGGAAAACCACCACAGGAGGTTTGGTGCTGAGGCAAGCTAGTCACTTTTATGTGTCGTCGCACTCTGGGCATGAAGTCATTTTTAAAAAAATCAAAACTTGAAAAGAAGTGGGCGCTGCAAGGGTGGAGTACATTATTTCCCCCATTTGAATTTAATCCATTCCCACTTTGCTACCCTTCGGTTTTTGTTGTTAATGCACTGCCTCTGGACAGCGATTTAATAAAAGTTCAAAAAATGCAGGTGATTAGGTCCAGAAATCAGGAACTGTTGGAGAAACTGTCAGGTCTGTTAGCCATGGTGATGTCATAAAATAATAATCGTGTGAAAATTGGATTTGGCTGTGTCTGTGAAACATGTCGTCACTGTTTCAGGTTTAGGAATGTGAGGGTTGGAATGAGACTCTGATGAGAAAAGGATGTGCCTGGACTCTGTCTAACCAAACTTTTAACCTCTCTGTCACCTGTGGGAATGGACTGGTCAGTATCAGGTGAATGTGAAGAATTGACTTTGGATGAGGGTGTGGGAATCTCGCATTCTCGCTTGCGCTCTTGCTTTCTGTGATGGCAGAGTGAAGGGGTTAAATTGGAAGGGGTCACGTTCAGGGAGGGGCCGTGCAGAGGGCATGCATATGCTTGAGTACAAGTCCAATATGTGCGAAGGTTGGTCTCGTGGTTTAATGAAAAGTAATTTTTGGTGGACCTTATGTAAAATTTGACCATCGCTTTTCGGTGCTGAAAGCTTCAATGCGTCAGAACCAAAGGAGAATCTTGGTGTTCATGATGCATTTAAAGGTTCACTTCGCTCAGTTGGCTAGATAGTTGGTTTGCGAATTGAACTCTCAACGGTAGCATCACAAATCAGCTGAGGTTACCATGAAGGATCCTCCTTCTCCACCTGTGACCCTTAGATGAAACCACCGCCAGTTGTCTCGCTTTGAGAGTAGCCTTGTGGCAATTGTACATGATTTCTGACTCCTCCACCCCACCCCCCCACACAGACAAACGCGCGCGCGCACACTCGCACACATCCTGGGGAATGAATGCTAATAAGTAACGTTGGTGTTTTAAGTTGTGCTATTCAGATTGAGATGATTTATAATATGATAATACACAGATTTAAGAGGAGGTCTCGTGTACCTGTTAACTCCTGACACGGGACCAAAACAAAAGCTTAACTCTGCATATTTAACATTTGCTCCCATAAACCAAATCTCTCTCTGTCCCTATGGTAGCTGTCCCTGTTGTCACTTTGGCTCCTGAACTCTTGCTGTGACCAAAGTTCAGGAAAGGGATGGTGTGAAGGAGGAATCGGGGAAGCTCCAGACGTTGCTCTGAAATGGTTGACCCGAGGTGGGGAAAGAACGGAAAGCCAAAAGTCCAGAAGTGTGTCATGGATTTCACCCCTTGCAAATATTATTTGTGCTTTGGTCGCCTGCTACTATTTGTCTAAAAGAATTGAGCTCAAGTAGTTGATTTTCACAGGGGTGTACATAAGGTACCTGACCAATGGTGATGACTCATTGCAGTTCTATTTTGAATTGGGCCCAGAAGTGAACTTCATAAAAGCAAAGCATCCCTTCAAGATACATCGTGTTGAAGTCAACCCCTCAACCTTTTTTGGCTTCGAAAATTGGTTGGAAAATACTTGTCTTCGACATAACGTGCGGTAATTGCACAATGTTTGTTTGTTTCTAGTTTCGGAGCACTGAGGAGCCTTTTTTTTAAAAATTTTTTTTTAAAGCATTTTGAGGATGGTATCGGTGATACTTTTATGTATGAACTCTGAAGCCCTCCATTTTTAACACTTCTTTATATCCTCTCTGCAAGGGAAGACTTCACAATGTGCGCTTGGGTCATTTCGTGAGTGGGTAACATTGCCAGCTGTTTTGAGGTCAGCTGTACTGCTCTTTTGTTTAATTCCACTTCCTTGTGGTTATTTTACTGTACATCCTGGTCACGAGTTAGTTTGACGGTTGCTTTTTCCACACACTGTCTGACCGCTGTGCTTTCAGATTGCTGCTCTGGCAATCTTTCTTGGAGCACTAACTTCCTCAGACAAAGCAGTGGCAACGCTGAGGTCATTAATTTTTTTTTGTCGCTGATATACAACTTCTGTGCTCTCGAACCATTGTAGCAGCTTTAACTGGCCATTATCTCCAAGCCAGACAGCTTTATGACGCTGTGCCTGACCTGCTGACCTGACTCTGTTTTGAAGACCACTTTTGTGAAATGTTTCTTGCATTGAGCCCTGCTTCTCAGGCCGTGAGTTGCTGACATGCTCGTTCCCTGCTGTGGTCGCTGTCTCAGACCCGAGTCTGTCGTTGCCTGCCAGTCCATTTTCCTGGACTTGGAGCACCTTTAAGCTAAAATTACCACTCCTGTGTTTCAGTCCCTGCTCGGACAGACTGTGTCACCTGAAACGTTTACTTGAATTTTTGGGCAGCACTTGTTAGGAACGATATTATTAGCCTTGGTGAAGTCACAGTGATGAAACGCCAGAACAGTTGTATAAGGTTAAGAAAAATATTTGCCTGTTCCCTGGGTTCTAGAAGATTTAAGGATAATGTGATCGGCTTTAAAATGCAGAGGACTTGACCCGGCAACAGGAACAACTGTTTCTTTTCATAGAATAATTCATTCGAGGCAAACTCGGAAGCACTTCTGCCACAGAGTGGGAGATGTCAGCAGTGGTGGCAATCTAACCAAATCCCATCCTGAAGACCATGAATGGCGGCCTGTTTAATCTGGCTAAACGGAGTTGAAGCTTACTCTAGCTGTGATCAGATTGAATGGCATACTTGACATAAAGGGTTTCGTAGAAGTTTCATTAGAATCCCTACAGTGTGGAAACAGGCCCTTCGGCCCAACAAGTCCACACCGACCCATAGGGCATCCCACCCAGACCCATCCCCGTGTAACCCACCTAATCTACACGTCCCTACGCACTAATGGGCAATGTAGCATGGTCAATCCACCTAGCCTGCACGTCTTTGGACTGTGGGAGGAAACCAGGGCACCCAGACACGGGGAGAATGTGCAAACTCCACACAGACAGTTGCCCGAGGCTGGAATTGAACCCGGGCCCCTGGCGCTGTGAGGCAGCAGTGCTAACCGCTGAGCTACCGTGCTGTTCTTGTCTCTTCGTGCCTACTCTTTCAGTGTCTGGTCTTTGGAGTCTGAAGACGGTGCACACGTTGTCCATTTGCGCCTCAGATTCACACAGTCCAGCAGAGCTTCCTGATGCAGTTAGCTGGCAATGTTTCCACATGTGCTGCCTTTCAGATGGGATCTGTGTCTCCTTTCCCTCTTGATCAGATGGATGTTCTGCAGTCTGTGAATTGTTTTGAAGCGCAGGAAATTCATCCAATACTTTGGCTACTTTTCCTCCTGACTATGTTTTCCAGAACAGCATATTGAAGTAGATTTATACGTCATCTTTTTAATGGAACAACATCCCACGATATTTCACAGCTTGTGATCATCTTGAAATGAGTGTACAGGAGAAGTTGAAACCTATCAGAAATGCTGCCTGCGAGCTACCTGTAACAAAGTGGTTAAGGTTTAAGGAAACCGTTGCAGAGCTGGGGTGAAATAGTCAAAGACGTTACCAGCAGCCTGGTAGAAAGATGCAGTGGAACAGAGTTGGAAAGTCCATGTTGTGTGAGCAGCCATGTCGGTTTGGAACAGCTCACAGATCTGAGGAGGAGTAAAGGCTGAGACAGATTTGCTGATGGGTAGGAGGATCTTGAGGCCAGTGAGGTGAGATGGCAGTCAGTCATAATCGGCAAGAGGTGACTGGAGTAGAAATTCCATCTTGTTTTAACTGTGTATTTAGTTGTGTCCTTTCCAGGATGTTTCTACCTCGCTTCTTTTCTATTTTTAAAAAAAAAAAGTACTTGACTTGGATTGAGCGCATGAGAAAATGCATTCTTTCTCTATGAAGGCACAGCTTCTTCATATTCGCATTAGGGTCTTCAGAGTCCTGACAACTTTGTCTTGTGGCATTGCTGCTTGGGACAAATGAATATTCTGAGCATAACTGAGTTGCACATGCATTAAATGTGTTAAATACGCTTTGTTTACACGAATTGGTGCAGCAGGCTGAGTTCAGTTTTTTTTTTGTGTTCATGTGGGGATGAGCATTGAAATGCTATTTGTTCAAGGTTGATTTTTGTCAGAATCTTGTTTCCTCAGCCTTTTTAAACTGAATCAAACTTCAGCAACAGACTTGGGAGGAACATAACATTTGAAGCCAGAAGAGAGAATTCAACAAGAAGACACAAAGCAAAATCTCTGATTTTTTTTTTAAAACGACAGCACAACATTTAAAATGTATAATAAAAATCTCTTTTGAAATAGTGTCCAAGTGTGCTATCTTGATTTATTTTGACAAAGCCCAACGAGACTTGCACATTGTCAGTGCGAGATTAGGCGTGTTTACTTTTGGGAAAACCAAAATTGACTTAATGGTTTGAGAAATCCAGTGTTGACATGGTCTTGATTTGTCTGGTTGGCATTGTGCATCATGGAAATGCTTCACTCATTTTGAATCTAGACTTTTTCTTCTTCTCCTGCAAATTGCATGATTGCTAGTGTCAGAGTATCAATATGAAACACTTTGTGAAGGTGTGATTAAAGTCAAGAAGGGTGCTGCAGATTGGAACCAGCTGGAAAGTTTCCCTGCAGTGTGAAGAGGGTGGTCTGGGGAAGCTGAACCCAGCAGTTTGGAGTGTAACTGAGACTTCATTGGCAAAAAGTACATCAGTACCAAGTGAGATCATGGAGTGGTTTATAAATATGCTGGAGGATTCATAAGTGCTTTGGGCTACTGGAAGTCATTGGGGAGTTAATGAGGAAATGGCACTTGGTGCTGAAAGCAGCCTATAAATAGGAGCATGAGGCACGGTATCATAAGATTCCATTCAGCCCATCAAACCTGCTCTTAGCATTCAACCAGCTATTGGCTGATCTCCCAACATTTTCCTGCACACTTCCTTTTATCCCTTTTTAATCTCTTTTTAATACCTGGAATCTGTCACTCATTGTGTATCTGTGTGTCTCATTGAACAGACTCTGTGAAGATCTCCACAGCTGTCTGGTTGGGGAACACCCAAGATTCATCATCCTTGGAACTGGGGAAAAAAATCCTCCCTTTTTAAGTTGGTTCTAAATGGCCTGCCTGTTATTTCTGAGACCAGTATCTTCACCCTGACTCACCCAGACTCACCCAGCTTTGAAATACCAGTCCTGGAGCCCTCTGTATTAACACTTCTCACTGGGGAGAGGATGATTGGACAAGTGTTGTAATTTCTTTTTCATCCAATCTGTGCGTGTACCTTAAGGACAGCCACTTGTGGAGCCGAATACGACGAAGGCGGTCTGTGAAGCTTGCAGTAGTACAGGCTGAAAAGCCATGAAATTATGGCCAATCTCTGCATATAGAGTCGACGTTGGTAAGATTTGTGATGACCAGCTCACCTCCGTACGAGGTGGCAGTGCTGCTGTTAGAGCCAAATCTGCTGATCCCACTGTCTTCCTATTACAGGGCAGTGTCTGAAATCCAGCGAGCTGAACGTTTTTGTCAGGTGCTGTGTGTCAGTTTTAATTGTTATCCGGTTAACCAGTTAATCGTAGCAGTTCAGCTAGGCATTGCGGTTGTGTATCGGATTAGTGATGTGCTTCATGCACCAGCTTGTCCCCCTAAGCTTGTGTGCTCCTTGACCTTGCCCCACCCAACCAGGCTTAGCCTGAGTTTCCAAACTGATTCTGGCCTAATCTGATGTGGATTCGAGCTGGAGGTTACTGTGTTGTTCACACACCATACCTGTATATGTGGAAGCTAGCATCTTCGCCTGATTACTCAGTGACACCATTTTACAGTCATTTTCATAGCACCTCTTCTTACGATTATTTTGTGCAACTTCTAAACAGCAGTTGAATACGTTTTTTTTTCTCGTTTGTGCATCTTAAATTGTCCTAGATAATCCTCGACTGCGCGGTAGAGTTCAGGCTACTTCAGGGTCTGTTCACCAGCTACTTGGTTTGTTTTGCACTGAGCATAGTTGGTTCCCGTTGAAATCTGGGAAAGTGGTTGCAGTTTTTCATGTTTTAAAACATGAAGTTTAAGTGTTTTAGTCAGTTTTTGTTTACATGGCTTTTGTTGAAATTTGAGATACTTTTGGAGTGGCTAAATTGCACAATAAATCAAACCTTCCACCTCGAAAATGCACCAGGCAAGTAAAGACAAATCTGCTGGTGATTTGGTCATGAAGTAATTTTTAGAAACCTGCAGATTATGGAAGGAAGGCTAAGTGTTTGCCCAGTTTGACGTTCCAGCAATAGCTCTGGTTCTGTTAGAATTACAGTGACAATGGCTCAGTGGTTAGCACTGCTACCTCACATCGTCCCAGGTTTGATTCCCGCCTCGGCCAACTGTCTGTGCAGTGTTTGCATGTTCTGCAACTTCTTCGTTTGGCTGTAGCTTCACATACGCTGCAGCAGCTTCCTTTGGTCTTTTCAAGTCCGATTTATTTCTTCAGTGCAATGCGCCCCCCAGCCGTGTTGTAGGAGTCCGGACTTAGCAGACGCTGATGTTTGGGAGCTCTGGTTCTGCACTTCTTACCATCCTTGCTCAGGGCACGTATTGCTGAGCATTATTGTCCTCCTTGGACAAGTTGAACAGTTTACAGATTCTGCAAGCTGTTTGTGGCCCAAGATGGCAGGGCACAGTATTGCCTTTTGGATCAGGGATGTCCCTTTCACCTTGCCGAATAATAACTCCATTCGGGGCAGAGTCAACGTTGGTGTCAGTGTTAGATCCACGGGCAGATTTTTTGTTTGGGCTCACCAGTCCAGCTGTGCGCCGTTGTGATTGCTTTATTAGAACAAGTGAACATCAGGTGTACCTTGGCCATAGGGTATTTAGCAGGATTTAGAGGTTCTGGATGCTGCTGTATAAATGAAGGTCTTTTGATGAGGGTGGGTAAAACTGGAGACTGCCCAGGTGAAATCATCCATGAAGTCATGCTCAAGAATAAAGAACTGTTGGAAGTTAGTTTGTATTATAGGGACTGGTAAATTGAAATAACGACAGTTTAGCAGCTACAGCACTAACCATTCTTCACACCTCAGTTGCATATATTAGCTTTCCCCAGCTAAGAACAGAAGGTCCGTAAAATACCCAGCCAGTTCAGTGCCATTTGAACTGTGTAATTTGTCTCATGCTGTCCCCGCCAGAACGTGGTCTTTCGGTTTGGGTATGTTACTGAAGGCATTTCTGAAGAATGGTCTAGGCTCGAAACGTCAGCTTTCCTGTTCCTCTGATGCTGCTTGGCCTGCTGTGTTCATCCAGCTGTACACCCTGCTTTCATCAGGCTGGGTTTAGGGCCTGTCGAATTGTCACTAGTGGGGAGTGTAAACCAGAGAGGCTTGCCTTCCACTACCAACTAGTTTATTGCATGTCAGCAATAGGCACAGTTTACATGAAGCAGCTATTAAGGCCACCCGGGAGCAGGAGAGAACACATCTGTGTCCTTTGGTCACTTTGGTTTAGAATTCCACTTCCTGCACAGGGACTGCATGCCATTGTCAGATTGGGTGGAGTTTGGTGTAACATGAGCATTAACTCTTCCAGAGCCATCATCTTGTCCAGCACAGGTTCATACTTTTCTCTCAAAAACTTTGTGGAGCCTGAGTCTCTCGTTGGCATATTCTGATGCTGCCTGGCTCAGCTGCTCATTACTCTTGCTTCAAAACTTTCACCACTCAAATTTTTTATCCTTCTTCCACTTTCTAGCTTCATGGAAACATTTTGAGGACGAAAGTTTCAGAATACCATGTGTAGTCCATCTTTAGTTACATGGTTTCAGTGATTTAAGGCAGTCATTTGTACTGACAGGAATTTTAATTGTGGGTATCGTCCATTGCAGTTGATTAAAAGTGGTTTGTGTTATGCAAGGGGAGATTGACCAGGAAAATGAATATGGCAGCATTAATTTGGAGGATTAGGTTGTATTTAATTCGAGATGGATTTTGTTTTTGACTATGATTGCATCAAGCTTACCAAACTGTATTGGCATGTGCTGAGAAAGTTAGCGATTTGCATGTAAATCACCTTCTATGACTAGGGTCTTGAGAATTGTTTAGCATTTTTACGAGCAGATGAGTTTGGAGCACTAGATCGTTCAGCCCTTCAAGCCTATTCCTATCGTTCGACATGATTTGTGTTCTGATCTGTTGGCGTGTGTGTGGAGTTCAGATTCCACTTGGCAAATGATCTTCTGTTGAAATGGATGGGGAAGCAGTCATGTTGTAAAAATTTGAACATTTCATCGCGCTGGTTTGTATAAAATCCCAATTCAACAATGCATGTTTTATGTTCTGTGAGTGAGATGGGTATACTGCGCCTTTTTAATGAAGCTTTATCGTGCAGTTCTCCAAGTTTGAACGCGTGTGGGGGTTTTTGTTTTGGTCCAGAAAACTTTGGATGTTTTATTTGTGGTGCGTGCACCTTTTCTTTTCAGATGCTGTTATATTGTTGACTCAATGAGCCTGCCTTGAGATGCGCACAAGGCAGCAGTTGTATAATTTTTACCAAGTGGGATATGGCAAAGCAGCAGTCAAATGTTAAGAACAAGATAATTCAGCAGCTGTTAACAGGTTTTCATTTTATACTGCAGCGTCAAGGATAAAGGTGGGAGTGTGTTGAATAATGAAAAAGATAAACAGAGTAAATTTTTTTAAAAAACCAGCAGTCAGTGAACCTCGCAAGAAACAGCGGATCTGAAGTATGAGTTTGGCATCAAATAGAGCTGTTTGTTTCAACTTCTGTATCTGGGTCACTAGAAAACTATTAGACCACAGCTGTCACAAGTTAACAGGTTTGTTATGCAAGACGTATCAAGGTAATGTCGATTACACAGCAAAATAACAGACCATTCAGCCCAGTCAATTCATGCTGATACTTTAACCTCCTCTTCCAGTCCTATTTTGACAAAGCTCTGCACTAACAGTGGATCGCTGAGTTCCTCTCCCACAGACTCTGGCAGCTGTTTGTTCCATCATGGATTCTCCAATGTCGTAGTTCCCTCGGGTGTTAAGTGTCAACATATGCACTCATAAAGGCCGCACTGTCTTAGCAGATGACCACTGTTCTGAGAGACTTGCAATCCCCTGGTTTGTCCTCACTTGGGTATCCCGTAAACTCAGTGTTTACATGATACGGGTAGTCATCAACAACTTGCAAATCACATCCCATTTTAATTTCAAAGATCTGACATGCCAACATTTGCTCATATTTCCAAATGGCCATTTTATGTTCTGCTGTACTATGTTCTGACTTGCACACTGGTAACTTGCCTGT